TGATGTCTTATAAAGAAAAGCAAACAAGACATAGAAATACAAGGTTTAATGTCAATAACAACAATAAAAGATATTACAATTATAATAAAAGATATCACAATTATAATAAAAGAAATACCAAGAGAAAAGGGTTTAAAAAACAACAAAGACAAAGAAGAACGGAAAAAAAACAGGATAAATACTGGAATAATAACGAATATACAAACAATAGACATAGGTGGTTAACAATAAAAGAGATACATGAAAGAATAAAAGGAATAATAAATAAATGGGAAAAAGGAGAATATTCAGAAATACTGAAAAAATACGAAGGTAAAAGAAAAAGATGATATGATATTCTTCAAGAAGTATATTCAATTAAAAAGAAAAAGATAATTGAAAAAATGCAAGAAGAATTTAAGGAAAGAACAAAATGATGGGAAGAAGAAGATATCCAAGCAATCGAAACAGAAATCAAAAGTAGAAATCCAATCAAAGAATTACAAAAAAATGTAAAATGGCTAAAATAATAAATGAAACAGAAAAAGAAAGAAAAACATAATAAGAAAACGAAGAAGAAACAAAGAATGAAGAGGAAAATTATAAAGAAAAAGAAGAAATTAAAGTACTTCAAAAGCAAATTAAAAAATTAGAAGAAGAAATTAAAGAGTATCAAGCAAAAAGAAAGGAAGAAGAACAAACCATCTCAGATGAAATGATGGAAAAAGCAAAAGAAATAGTCAGAAAAGAATTTGAGAAAGAGATAGAAAATATGAAAAGAGAAATTAAGAAGGTGCAAACAAATTATAATGAAAAGAAGAAAGAAAATGAACAACTAACAGAAGAAAACATAAAATTACAAGGTGAAATAAATGAGATAGAAGGAAAATCATGGAAATGAATAACAAAGAAGAAACCATTCGAAGTCTGAAATCCACTAAAGGGAAGTTACAGAAGGAAAAGGATGAACAAAAGGAGAAAACAGAAGAGCTGAAGAAAAAAGGTGAAATACTGGAAAAGAAGAATAGTATGTTAGAGGAAAAAGTGGAAGTACTAGAGAAGAAAATTGAGGAGCTGAAAAGTGAAATAAGAGATAAAGAAAAACAAATCTCTGAAATTCAACAACCAGCAATAATAAGTCATGAGATTGCAGAAAGAACAAGAGAAGAATTAGATAACATACAAAAAGAAAATGAAGCACAAAAAAAATAATATCAAAACAACAAGATGATATTGAAAATTTTATCTCACAGAAGGAACTAGAGAAGAAGAAAACGATGACACTTGTGATAAATACACAACCAGTACTGAGGAAAACATCATCAGGAACGATGAAGATGAACGAAACTACTCCTATGAAAAAGACAGTAGTGGAAATCGAAGAGAAAAGCAAAGCACTGATTGTCAAAAAACAAGAGATGATAATCAGACAAGAAATACAACAAAACAAAGAAATAGAATTTTAATTGAAGTGATGTATTGTTTTGCAATTAATTGGTTGAATAAGAAATTATATAAGAAATTAAGATGGGAACAAATAGAAAGTATAATAAAAGTAATAAACATTAATGTCAATAATGAAAAAGAATATATTAAATATATTAAAATGTCACATAAAATAAAAGAAAGCATTAAACGGTACATTAAAGTGAAAATAAATGATATAATAGAAGGAAGAGTAGAGTGTAATTCAATAATAAAAAACATCATATTAAAGAATGACTCTACAGAAATTGATGAAGAATACCTTAACACTCTCATCAATAAAATAAAAGAAATGAAAATAGAAAATGTTCAAACATTAATTACTACTGGAAAAGAAAAGAAGCTGACTAATTAATAAATGGAAATTAATAATAGATTGATATGGTCAGGAAGCAGAATGCAGGATCTACAAGATGATATGAATATTTCAATGGTTATGCATCTTTATCTCCAAAATAAAATAATAGGAGACAAATTTGATGAAATAAAAGAAATCCTAAAGAAAATTAATAGACTAGAAGATTTGGTCAATGAAATTGTACAGAATAAAGTGCATCATGAAATTAAAAGAAAATGATGAAGAAGGAATAAAAGTCAAAGCACTAGAAAGAATAAAGTACCTAAAATATATGATGACAATGATAAAAGAAAGAATTAAATTTAATAAAGATGAAATAATCAGAATCAATACAAATAAAATCATGTTTGATTCTAACAAGAAAATTAGAATAAGGAAAAAAGACCCAAAAAATGAAATATACCCAAATAACGATATTACTTTAGAATATTGGAAATCGTTATATGAAACACAGGTGATATTAAATAAAGAAAATTGGAAAATAAAACAAATCACCTCGTGGAATGAAAGATATAGAAATTATGATAGTGTCATAATAACATTAAATGAATTAAATTTAAGTATAATGAAAATAAGTAACTGGAAAGCACAATGAATAGACACTATATATGGGTATTATTGGAAAAGGATGTCATCATCAAGAGAAATCATTCTCAATATCTTCAATGAATGGTTGAACTTCCCTGAAAACATCCCATTAGACATGGTAAGTGGAAGAACTTTATTAATCCACAAAGTGATACGAATGATGTCACTAATTATCGTCCTATCAGTTGTACAAATGTAATTATGAAAGTATTTACCTCATTATTAAAAGAAAAGATTCACAGAAGACTTAACATGAATAGTGAATCATTGAAAATTAGTAAAAATCAACTGGGATGTAAGTTACAATCTTTAGCTGCTAAAGAAGGAATAATTAATAGTTATATGTTAAAGCAGCAGAAAGAAGAAAAATACCCAAAATATGATGAGTCATATTATGACATTAAGAAAGCATATGACACAGTAAACCACGAATGGGTAATTGAATCATTAAAGTATTTTAATTGTGAGGGAGTCATCATTGACATTATTGAAAGTATGATGACTAGATTGAAGACATTCATCGGTTATAAATTTAATGAACATCCATGATGTATTAAATTAAATAGAGGAATTTTACAAGGTGATTCCTTATCCCCTCTACTCTTCATCATTCAGATGAACGTAATTTCTCAAATCATCGAAGAGAAATTCCCAAAAGCAAATCACACTTTATATATGGATGATTTGAGAATAATGACAGAAAATAGTGAAGAAATGGGAATAATCCACAACGAAATTAAAGAAATAATAAGTGGAATAGGGATGGAAATGAATGAAAAAAAGTCAGGAATGGTATTAAAAACATTAAAGAAATACCAAACAGAATGCAAAACATCCCCGTAGTTGAAGGTGATGACTTGTATAAATACTTAGGAATATGGCAGTCCGATGAAATTGAAGACACCTTCAATTGTAAAACCATCAAAGAAAAAATGATGAAGAAGATGGAAGAAATAAACACTGATGATAGCAGTAATAGAAGATATATTACTAGAATAAACACTGAAGTAATCAATATCTTCAGATAATCAGCATCAGTTGTAAATTAGAAGACAACTTAGATAAAATGGATTTGGAGATAAGAAAATATTTAAGAAAGGCAAAATACATTGGTGCCGGAAACTCCAAAGATAGGTTGTATGTCCCTCTAGAAGAAATGAAGGATTAATAAATATAAATGACGAATATGTTATTGAATTAATAAGAACAGTAATGTACTACTGTACCAGAGAAAGTGAAATTAGAAATAACATAATAGATAGATGGTACATTAAGAAGGGAATATGGAATAGAATTAAAAAACGATAATTCATAAAATAAATGAAACAAAAATAGAAGAAATAATAAATGAAATTGTTGAAAAGAAAAAAGAAAAAGAAGTAGTCATAGAAATAAAAAAATTAATGATAAATACATCAAAAAATGGAAATGTCATCAAATAAGTGATATTTTAGAAGATGATTTGAGTCAAAATGAGTAGATAAAACTACTACAGTGAAAGCATGGAAGTCAATCAATATTAAAAAGAATGCATTTCTACAATTAACTAAAATGCAAGATGGAACAATATTTTGTGAGTATAGAAAATCAAAAATAATGAAAAATGAAAGATTGAAATACTCAACACTTTGTAAAGACAAGATAGCAACAGTAGAACACATTCTACTATCTTGTATTGGTCATAAAAAATCCAAAATGAGGAAACATGACAATATTGGCATTATAATATGGGAGGGATTAATAAGAAAATATACAGGAAATAAACAATAAAAACCCCCATATGAAACAATATTCAAATATAAAGACATCACAATGATATTGAACAAACAAATAATGCATAAAAGTGAATGACAATATCACAAAATACCAGATATATATGTATTAGATAAAAAGAATAAAACTAGTCTATTATTTGATATGACTATTGTTGCTGATCACAATATTAATGGAGAATATTTGAAGAAAAGAAATAAGTATAAGGAAATAAAGAATATGCTAATGAAAATAGAAAAATTAAAAGATGTCAAAATAAATCCAGTAGTAATTTCAATTAATGGTTTAATAAATAAAGAAAGTATTAGATTAATTAAAGAATTAAAAATTGAAATTGACATCGAAAAAGAAGTAAAAAACATTGTAATAAAAAACATGATTGATGTCATTGAATACTGCTTTTATCACAACGAAACATACTCCATAAAACTACAAGAAGAAGACTCTTTAATTTGATTATCTTCATTGAAAAAAAACTTAGAGAAATAAATTCTATTAATACTTAATTAATTGATTTTTATTAATTATATATCTATATGTTTTTATTTTTTTCTAATAATCTGTTCATGAATTAAAACATTTTCTTTCATTTTTAAATTACTAACTCTTATTAGACTTAACTTCAATTGGTCAACAAAATGATAATCAACAAAACTTCCTTGTCTTTCATTCAATTCATTGTTTTGACTTATTTGATAATTATTTTATTTATCACGATTATTATTTCCAAGAGTATTTCTTTTATTGTAATATCATTTGGTTATGAAAAAAAAGAAAAAAAAGTTTTAAAAGAAAAATATTAAAAAGCAGTTGATATTTAATTTCCACCATTGAATAACTTAACCAATTCATCACAATACTCTAAAGTTGCTTCATCAACAAATGATATTTTGTTAGAATTATCAACCCAACCCAAATGTCCTCCATTATTTGTGAGAATAAAAATAACATTTGAACTTGATGCCACCATATTTTTGACTCTTTGGATAGTGTATGATGGCATAATAGCAATAGGATCATCTATAGAATTAATTGCCAAAAGTGGAATAGTTGATTTAGGTAAGAAATGATACCATTGTTCAATGTCATAATAATATGTCTCATAATGTCCAAATCCAAATAATTTACAATCAAAATTATTATCAAACTGTGGAACAGTTGTAACATAATCCATTAAATGATAATCAAATGATGGTATTTTATGTTCTTTCATTGCATTTAAGAAGATGTCTTGGTTTTTATATGCTATTTTAACAAGTGATTTAGTGAAGCTATCCATAAATACTTGAGGAATAGCATTTGCAGTTGAAAGAGAGGGCCAAGTAGCACTTATAGCAACACAACCAATGAGGTTACAACTTTCTCTTAAATTGTCAAGTCTACCACATAAAGTAGTTGATACCATACCTCCCATTGAATAACCAACTGTAATGATAGGTGCTGTTGGATATTTAGAATGAATATAATTAATACATGTTACACTATCTTCTAAGCAAGTGATATTATACGCACGAGGTGTTGTCATTTTTGTTCCAGCACATCCTCTGTAAGTATAAACAACAATTCGATAATTTTTTTGTTGAGCATAATAAACAAATCTTTGTATATAACTTTCTCTACAACCTCCAGCAAGTCCATGGTAAACAAGTAAAATTGGTGAATTAGTAGAAAGGGTTTGTTGATTAGAAAGCCAGTCAACAGCGAATTTCCCATTATCATATCCATTAATAAATTCACGATCAAATTCTAGTTTAATAGGAAAACGAGTAGCAAATACATTAATTGTTTGAATAATTCCATCACAAAGATAAATAGGTGAATTAAATGGTTTTAAAGAAAAACAATGAGATAATTTTTGAGTAAATTCATTTGGTGAAACTAAAAGTTGTGGATTAGTAATAGTTTGTGTTGGAATGATTAATATTAAAATAAAACAAATACAAAATATTATTACAAGAATAAAATGTAAGGTAATAAATGAATAAAACATTCCAATAAAACTAATAAATTCTAATGTAAACCACAACCTTCCTTTAAAAAAATAAATGTACTCTTGAAGAGATAATAAAATAGAATAAATGAATGATTTACATAATAGAAGGTTATTCATTTTTATTAAACTATTAGTAATTTATCAGTTTATTTTATTTAAAATGAATTAAATTATTAAAGTTATTTAATTAAAAAAAATTTTTGAAATTAAAAGAAAAACTGAAAAGTCATAGTGTTTTTAATAAAAATGATGATGTGGTTATTACTATTTACTGTTCTTACTTTTTCAAACGCATATGAAGATTACTCTGATGTACTTGAAAACTTTGACGAATTATTAGATTTAGATGATTTTGAAGATTTCAATGACGCTATTTCTCCAAAATCTGCTTCTGTAAAAGGAAGAATGAAAAAAATCGCTAAACTTGCAAAAAAGAGAGTCAAAAAGTCTACTAAAAAGGTTGTCAGACATTCTCAAAAACCTAATCAAAATAAAGCTAATCAACTAAATAATCAACCTACTGCTCAACCAGCCGTTCAATCAAATAGTCAACCAGCTCCTCAACCTACTGCCCAACCAACTCCTCAACCAGCCGCTCAACCAGCTCCTCAACCAGCCGCTCAACCAGCTCCTCAACCAGCCGCTCAACCAGCCGCTCAACCAGCTCCTCAACCAGCTCCTCAACCAGCTCCTCAACCAGCTCCTCAACCAGCTCCTCAACCAGCCGCTCAACCAGCTCCTCAACCAGCCGCTCAACCAGCTCCTCAACCAGCCGCTCAACCAACTCCTCAACCTACTGCTCAACCAGCTAACAATCAAAATGGTCAAACAGGTAAAGAAATTAAAGACGTTATTAATGAAGATGTTGGCAAAGTTTTACAACAAGCACATCAAATTGACTCACTTGCTCAATCACAATAAATTAAGAAAGTCTAATGTTTTATTTTATTTTAATTTTTTTTTAAAAGAATAACAAAAAAAGAATCAGTTTGTTATTATTAAACATCGAGTAAGATAATTCTGAGGTAATTTAAAAGTTCAAAATAATTCAGTTGAAATGACAACGAAATAAATAGAATTTATTATTTGTTAATTACTAACAATTAAGGGGGTTTGATATAGGTTCGAAAATTCTTCTTCTTTTGAAAAGATTTGAATTTATGATATTTAAACAGTTAGAGATACTTATAATTCATTAGCTTAAAGATGTCAACTTATGAAGTAGATGGAAAGAAAATCACAGTCACAGCTGATTGTGTTGGATGTAGTGCTTGTGTTGATGGATGTCCAGCTGGAGTCCTTGAATTAAAGGATGGAGTTTGTACTGCCCCAAGAGTTGCTGATTGTGTCCAATGTCATGCATGTGAAGGAAACTGTGGTTGTGGTGCTATTCAAGTTGAATAAGTTATAATTCAGTCTTTTTGCTTTTAATTATTTTCAATGTTTAAAAAATGAAAAATAGAATTATGGGAATAAAGAATGAATGAGTTGAACATTAATTGTTTGTTAAAATAAAAATTTTAATAAAATGAAATGAAACAAAAAAATAGTTTTTCTTTAGAACTTAAAAAATTAAAATGAGTTTAGAGTGCAGTGGTTGTCATAAATTATTTAAAGAACTTAATAGTGGACTTAAAGGAACAAATTGGTGTGATGAATGTTTTAATTATAAACAATGTGCAAAATGTGGAAATCCTATTACAAGAAATATGGTAATTGTTAAAACTTTTGAAGGAAAGGATTATCATGCTGAGTGTTTTAAATGTGTTTCATGTAAATCAAGAATTAAGAAAGAGCCTATTGTATATGATGGTAAATTTTATTGTCAAGAATGTGGTGAGCCATGTGGTGGATGTGGAAAACCAATTGGAATGTCATTTTTAGAAGTATTTGGAAAGAAATGGCATGAAGGTTGTGTTAAATGTGTTAAGTGTCATAGACAAATTGGAGATGAACAATTTTATGAAGAAGATGGACAACCAATTTGTGCCGTTTGTGTTGATTATGACAATTAATCTTCATTCTAAATAACACTTTTTATTATTTTATGTTTTAAATGACAAATAAAAATTACGAAATAACAAAATTTTAAAAGAACTGCAAATCAAATGAATTTATTGTTGAACCCTCTTATAGAAGTTCGAATCTTTGTTGATTCATCATAATGGAAATAAAAGTTCATTGAATTTCAATTAGTTCAAGAAGAAGTTCAACAAAAATTACAGAGAAGAAACTCCAAAAAGACGAAAAAAGAGACTTTGGCAGTCATGAAAATTCCTTCATTGTTATTAGAAAATTCTCTGAAACAAATATGAAACTAGAATGGGAACGAAGTGGGTTGTAAATCAAATAAGTATTAGTGAGTTAGTACTACTGATTCATCATATGAAATTCAATTGTTAATTTAATTGATTTGAATTATTTTATAGATTTAATAAAAAAAGGTTTAAATAGTTATTATTTAAAAAAAAAAAAAGAAACAAAAAGCTGTTTTAATAAATATTTCAAATGACCAAGTAAACCCTATATATAAATCAAATACATCTTCAAAATATTAAATTAATAAATAAATGAATACTGGTTTAGACATTAGTAAAACTTGGAAAAGAATTAATGTTGATCCAAATGTTGAATCAAAACCACTTCATGTTCTTGTAACTGGAGCTGCAGGTCAAATTGGATATAATCTTCTTTTCTTAATTGCTCATGGTTTAATGTTTGGTCCAAATCAAACAGTTTATTTACATTTATATGATATTATGGTTGAAGCTATGGAAGGAGTAAAAATGGAATTAGCTGATTGTTGTTTCCCACTTGTTAAAGGAGTTGTAGCTTCAAATAAAACAGAAGTTGCATTTAAAGATGTTGAATGTGCTATTTTAGTTGCTGGTATGCCAAGAAAAGTAGGTATGGAAAGAAAAGAATTAATTGGCATTAACACTAGAATTATGAAAGAACAAGCTCTTGCTCTTAAGAATTTTGCTAATCCTCATGTTAGAGTTTTAGTTGTTGCTAATCCAGCTAATACTAATGCACTTGTAGTTGCTAATAATGCTGGAATTGATGTTAAACAAATTACTTGTTTAACTCGACTTGATCAAAATAGGGCTATTGCTCAAATTGCAAGTAAATTAAATTGTAAAGTTGAAGATGTTTCTGATGCTTTTGTATGGGGAAATCATTCAGAAAAACAATGTCCAGATATTTCTCATGCAGTTGTTCAAACACCAAATGGACCAAAAAGAGTAGCTGACCTTGTTGAAGAGTCATGGTTAGAATCTTTTAATAAAACTGTTCAAGAAAGAGGAGCTAAAGTAATTGAAATGAGAAAGGCATCATCAGCTGCTTCAGCTGCCAAAGCAATTGTTGATCATTTTAGAGATTGGTGTCTTGGAACAAATAAAGAAAAGATAGTTTGTATGGGAGTTTATAGTGAAGGACAATATGGTATTCCAAAAGGAATATTCTTTAGTATGCCAGTTGTCTGTTATGGAGGTGAATATCATATTGTTGATGACTTAGTACTCAGTGAATCAACTAGAACAATGTTGAAGAATTCTGAAGAAGAATTATTAGAAGAAAAGAAATTAGAGATAGCATATGAAGAAATTAAACAACATTCCAATGTTCACGAATAATAAGTTTGAATTAATTTAGCGTATGTAGTATTTTTTGTTTTTAATCTTTTTTATTAAATATTTCAATAACAGAAAAATACTAAAAGAATAAAATAAGAAAATGTGAAATTAATAACAAAAAAAAAATATTTAGAGTTGAAACTAAAAAAAAAGAAAAGAAAAAAGTTGAACTTTAGATCTTTAAAAATAATAGATCTATAACATGGCTACCACTTATCAAGCATATTTAGATACTATTAGAGCAACTTTGAATAGTGCAATGTGTGTAACTAACTTTGCATCACAATTAATTGAAAGACACAATAAACCAGAAGTTGAACTTGGTCTTTCAAAAGAAGTTATTTTTAAACCAGTAGTTATTGTTAGAGTACCATCTGAACCAAGTGGTGAAGAAAATGGAGTTGATAAATGTGAGAAAGTAATGATTGAAGGATCAATTAACTCAGTAAGAATTTCAATTTGTGTTAAAAAAGCTGATAATCTTGAAGTTATTCTTCTTAGAAGATTTGTTTCATTCCTTCAACAAAGAGCTGAAAATTTTGTTATTCTTAGAAGAAAACCAATTAAAGGATATGATATTTCTTTCTTAATTACTAACTTCCAAACAGAAAATCTCTTTAAACATAAACTTATCGATTTCATTATTGAATTTATGCAAGAAATCGATAAAGAAATTTCAGATATGAAGATTTCTGTTAATACTCGTGCTCGTATTGCTGTTGCTGGTATTACTGGCACTTCACCAGCTCCTGGTTTCTTCAAGGCATTATTAGCTTAAATCAAACCAAATCATTTTTTTCATTTCCTTTTTTATAGTTTTATATAACATTTATTAATAACAAAAAATATAGTTAATAACCAATTTTATTCATAATTATTTATAAAAATTTTTCATTTTTTATTTTATTTTATATCGTTTTTTCTTTTCTTATGGAGAAAAAATGTTTGATTTTTTAAAACTTACATCTATTTTTATAATAAATAGTCAAAAAAAAACAGGTTTTTTCTTAGTGACACGTGGTCAATCAGGTTAAAAAAGCGGGATCTTTTAATCATTTTCATTTCATGGGTCAAGATAACTCAAAACAAAAGAGACAGAGAGTTGAATACAGTGGAAAGCAAGACGCCACTACTCCATTTGAAATTAGTGGAAATAGTCTTTACAACCTTGTTGGTAATAAAGATGAAGCTCTTTTCAAAGAACTTGGAGGAACTGAAGGTATTTGTAAACTTCTAAAGTCTAATCAAACCAAAGGTCTTGATGGAAATGATCTTAAAGAGAGATACTCACAGTTTGGTCAAAACAAATATCCAGATCCAATTATGAAAACATTTTTCCAAATGTTAGTTGATTCTCTTAATGATTCAACACTTATGATTCTTATTGCATCTGCTTTTGTATCATTATTTTTGGCATTAGTTATGCCAAAAAGTCAAACATGTGGAGAAGAACAAGAAATGAATACAGACTGGATTGAAGGACTTGCAATTTTTGTTGCAGTTATTGTTGTTTCTGTTGGATCATCAATTTCAGATTATAACAAACAAAAGAAATTTATGGAACTTTCTCAAGATGAAAAAAATGTTAATATTAAAGTAGTTCGTAAAGGTGAAAATACATTAATTTCAATTCGTGATCTTGCTGTTGGAGATCTTGTTAATTTAGATGTTGGAGATATTATTCCAGCAGATGGTGTATATGCATCTGGATTTGATCTTAGAGTTGATGAATCTGATATGACAGGAGAACCTGTTGCTGTAAAGAAATCAGAAAAAGATTATTGGATGATGTCAGGAACTAAAGTTACTGATGGTAATGGTCAAATGATTGTTACTGCTGTTGGACTGAATTCTCTTTGGGGTAAAACTAAAGAATCTCTTAACCAAGATAAACCAAGACCAACTCCATTACAAGAAAAATTAGATGAACTTGCAGAACAAATTGGTAAACTTGGAATGGGATGTGCTATTGTTGTTTTCACAATTCTTTGTATTTATTGGGTCATTGATGCAATTAATTATAAACCAATTCTTGTTTGTGATAATGATCCATGCAAACAATGGACTGAAGAAAGTAAAGCAACTCACAATTGTGAACTTATTGGATTTAATTGGATGCATTTAGCTTCTGTTGTTGAGTATTTAATTACTGCTATTACTATTGTTGTTGTTGCTGTTCCAGAAGGACTTCCTTTAGCTGTTACTATTTCATTAGCTTATTCAATGCAACAAATGATGGCAGATAATAATTTGGTAAGACATTTGAAAGCATGTGAAATTATGTCTAATTGTAGTAATATTTGTACAGATAAAACAGGAACTTTAACTGAGAATAGAATGACTGTTGTTAGAGGATGGTTTGGAGGAGAAGTTATGGAAAGAGATAAGTCATTAGATCTCAACAACACTAAACTTGGTGAGGAAGTTTATAATAATATTTCATGTAATAAATCAATTTCTTCTGCTGTTTATATGGAAGATGGAATTCTTAAGACTATTGGAAATAAGACTGAATGTGCACTTCTTGGTTATTGTTTAAAACAAAATATTGATTATGAAGCTCGTTATACTAAATTGTCATCAATCATTTATCAACAATTTGCATTTTCATCAGCAAGAAAAAGAATGTCTACTATTATTTATAATGAAGACAAAAGTCTTCATATGTTCTTAAAAGGTGCACCAGAAGTTATTCTTTCTAAATGTTCTAAATATATGAAAAAAGATGGAACTACTGTTATTTTAACTGAAGATGACCGTAAAACACTTTTAGATTTCCAACTTTCATGTGCTAATCAAGGAATGAGAACATTGTCATTAGCTGTTCGTGATTTATCTCCAAAGAATCCATCTAATTTAAATGAAAAATATGAAGAATCTCCAGAAGAAGATTGTACATTGTTATGTGTCTTTGGTATTGAAGACCCATTAAGACCAGAAGTTATTGATGCAGTAGCAAGTTGCCATAGAGCAGGTATTACTGTTAGAATGGTTACAGGAGATAACATTGCAACTGGAAGATCAATTGCTAAACAATGTAAAATCATTGAGAGTGATTCTGATTTTTGTATTGAAGGACCTCAATTTGCTAAACTTACAGATGAAGAAGTTGATAATATTCTTCCAACATTAAGAGTTATTGCAAGATGCTCTCCACAAGATAAAAAAAGACTTGTTAATAGACTTATTCTTCATGGAGAAGTTGTTGCAGTTACAGGAGATGGAACAAATGATGTACCAGCATTGAAAGAAGCTGATGTAGGACTTGCTATGGGTATTAGAGGAACTGATGTAGCTAAACAAGCATCAGACATTGTTATTTTAGATGATAATTTCAATTCAATTGTTAAGGCTGTTATGTGGGGTAGATGTGTTTATGATAATATTAGAAAATTCCTTCAATTCCAATTAACTGTTAACGTTGTTGCTCTTGCATTGTGTATTATTGGAGCTATTACTAAGATGGGATCTCCATTAAAAGCACTTCAAATGTTATGGGTTAATATGATTATGGATACATTAGCTGCATTAGCACTTGGAACAGAAAAACCAACACCATCTCTTTTAAATAGAAAACCATTTGGAAGAAAGGCATCTCTCATTTCAATTAATATGCTTAGAAATATAGTTACACAAGCTATTTATCAATTATTTGTTCTTTTATTCTTATTGTATTGTGGTAGAGAACTTACATTCCTTAATGCACCATGTGCTTACATAGATCATGGTGATTTTGGACAATATAAATGTGCTGATAATAAATTGCATAGTATTAATGATATTGAAAAAGATACTACTACTATTCAAACAATGATTTTCAATGCCTTTGTTTTCTGTCAAATCTTTAATGAAATTAATTCAAGAAAAGTTAATGGAGAAATTGATGTATTTGAAAATATTTTCTCAAATTATATGTTTGTAGGTATTGTTTCAATGACTGCTATTGTTCAAACTCTCATTGTTGTATTTGCAGGTCCAATCTTTTCAGTAACTCCATTCCCAGGAATTGGAATTATCCAATGGATTACATGCCTTGTTCTTTCTAGTTTATCCCTTGTTATAGGACAATTGGCTATAAGATATTTAACAGAAACACAGATTCTTCAAATAAAAGAAAATTTCTTTGGAAAAGCTAAGAGTGATTAATATCTTTTTTATTTATAAAAAAGTAATATGTCGTATTTTTGTTATTTTTTTAAAGTTTTGTTGTATAAAGGGTTTTTCTCGCTTTATTAACATTTTTTTGATTTAAGAAAAGCTTTTTTAAACTTAAAATTATTTATGTGAAATGGAAGAGAGGGGAAGACAAACAAACCAAAGTTTCAGTGATGACTCTTCAGAAGATTTAGATAATCCTTTTGACGAAACTTGGATTGAGTTGTATTGTTCATTAGATGGCAATGAATTTTTATGTGAAGTTGATCAAAGTTTTATTGAAGATGAATTTAATTTATATGGATTAAGAGCATTTATTGAACACTATGAAGAAGCTCTTGATATTATTTCTTCTAAAACAACAATACAAAGTTATGATAAAAACCTTCGTAGACAGTTAAGTATTGAAACCAAATTATTATATGGTTTAATTCATCAAAGATTTATTGTAACTGTACCAGGTTTAAAAAAGATGTATGAAAAGTTTAGAAGAGGTGAATTTGGAGCATGTCCACGAGTATTATGTGATGTTTGGTTATTTAATTAAAATTTAAATGGATAAATATTTATATAATAGAATCATGCTGTTTTACCAATTGGTACAAGTAATATTCCTTATTTAAGTAAAACAAAATTATTTTGTCCTCGTTGTGGAGAAGTATATTCTATTCCAGATGGTTATTGTGGTTCCAATTTAGATGGTGCATATTTTGGAATGACATTTCCTCATTTATTAATGTTAAATGTCTCAGGAATGAAAAAAGCAGATAAATTTAAACCAACGATTTTTGGATTTGAGATAGCATCTTCTTCTGCACCACCAGGAAGATTTATTCCAACACGAGACTCTTTTTTTGTTGTTAACAATTGAGTCAATTGTAGATTTTTTTTTTGTTTTTTATTTTATATTTAAAATGATACAGCACATATCAATCTTCTTTTTTTAATGAAACAGAAGAAAATATTCATTTATAACTTTCTTTTTCTTTAATAAATTATTAATATATAAATTAATATTAACTACTCTCAATTAACACCATTGCACTGCTATTAAACACTTAACTTTAAATCTCTTAGGATAACAATTTCCAGTCAATAATTCTGCACCAATTTGGGTAGTATCATTATAATATTTATTAAATGAAGGTATGATATATGATCTATCATTAGTAATTATTGAGAAACAGTTAGCTATACCAAAGACACTGTCATTATCATTACTTATTCTAAATCCTAAATCTCCTAATTTTCTTTCTATTTTGATTGGGTTAAATCCTTTATTATTATATAATGAAAATACAAAAAATTCTTCTGTTCCTTGTGTATATTCAAAATCATTTCTTTTACAAATTGGAATATAACTTCTTGTAAATCCACCAAAAATATTCTTTTCATTATCAAATACAAATACCATTACATCTTTTTTTCCAACAATTTTCTTATTTAAATATTCACAATTTAATCCTTCAAAGTTTGAATTATAAAGAACTTTAAACGCTCGTTGATTAGTCCAATTTTTTAATACTTTTTTATATTTTTCTATAGAATTTAATTCTTTACTATTGCTAATATATTTTGATAATTGTATTGAAGAATTTATTGATGTTAATTGAATATTAACGGGATTTAATGATGGTTCACTTTCTGAATGACATGGAGGAATAATTGTTGCACATGCAATCATTGGTGTAATATTGTCATTAATTTTTGTTGTTTCATCTTCACTTATGTCAGGAGTATTTTTTGTAATTTTCTTTAATTGTACAGTTTTAATATCTTCATCAGCTTGTTCTATCTTTTTGTACAATTTCTTTAAAATACCTATAATGTCTTTCATTAAATCAATTGTACTACTTCCTTTCTCTATATCTTTTTCAACATTTTCAAGCATTTCTTTGATTGTAGTCATCAATATCTAACGAACAAAATTTAGTTCTTAAGTTATAGAAATATTGAAATTTCCCCTCTAAAATTTAATGTTTTTTCTTTTTTTATAAAGTTATTAATTGAAAGAGTTATACTATTCACATTATTCTTTTATTATATCATTAACTTATTGTTGATTTTTTCTTCATGTTTGTAGTTTCAACTAAAGAGAAATTTCTTCTTTTATTTTTTATTTCAACGAATTAATTATGGTTTTTAAAAAATGATTTTTTTAAACCAAAGAAATAAAATAGTGAAATTATTCTTTACAAAATAGCAAATAAAATTATAGTTGGTTTTTTTAATATTTCATTAATTTGTAATAACCAAATATATTATTCTATTTTATTCAATTAATATAAATGAAAATAAGTAATGAATAAAGATAATAAAAGGAAATTATCCATGAATGGATTATCTGAGTATTATTTGTTACTATTTTTTATTATATTTTTCTTTAAAATTTAGTTCAATATAAGATACAATGTTTATAACTACATTATAAAATAGTATTACAAAATAATATTTTTTTACTATTTTATTTTTTTATATTTATTGCTTTCTATCATTAATAATTTTTTTATTTATACCTCGCTTCTCTTTCTTTTCTGTTGTTTATGTTTATTATTTTTTTCTGAGACTAAATGAGAAGAATTATTCTTTTTAAAAAAAAAATAAACCATATTTGTTTAAGAATTTATGCAGTAAAGTATTTAATTATATTGAACTGGTTTTTAGTTATTCTTTGTTATTTCATTTTGTATTGTTATATTGTAATGTAGATAATGAAAATAAGATTATCACCTATGTAAATTGTATGTGTATTAATTCAATTTCAAATGAATTTATTGATATTAGTATAATTATTTATGAGTTGTTATTCAACTTTATGTTCATATTGGACAATTTTATTTTGTGCACTAGATAGACATTTAAATCAAAGAATGTTATAATACAAATAGAATAAAGAATTTCTAAAATTAATACCATCCTTGTATAATAATTGAAACAAATATTAAACTTTAATTTAATTTTAACAATGGAAATAGTCAAACAAGAATAAATGATGATAATGTTGAGTTATCAGTTAAGTTATTTGGTAATTATCACCATACCTATTATTTACCTATTCAATATACTTCTATTAATTCAATTGATACCAAATTAAAATTAGAATCAAATAATGGGATATGGTATATAATATCATCATATGAATGAAAATTCAATCAAATAACATCAACTCTAATAAATAGTAAATATTTCAATAAAACATGTAATCGAATAATTCTTCATTTTAATGTTAATAATATTAAAATTCATTAAGTAACAACGGAATGTAATAATACATTTTCAATATATGAAGAAGATTTTAATTCGGATATAGTTACTGTTACTTATTTCTCAAATATTTATTATCAATTACAAATATCAAACTATATTATTATAAATAACTATGTTTTGTCAGATATTCATACAGTTTATATATACCCTAATCAATGGTTAAAATATGAATCTACAAATCAAACAACTCTCTACATTTATCGAAAGAAGGAGTCATATCAAAAAAATTGAATTTAAATTAACAAATGAACAATTAATTAAATTAACAACAATAACTAAAGAAGTTGAAGATAGTGACAAGTCAATTTCAGTAGTAATTATTTCTTTATTAAAACAATTAACATATTTAATTATTGTAAAATTTTTATGAACAAGAAGAGATAAAGTATGAATATTCGAGTGAAATGAAATATATGAGATAATAATTGACATACTAACTATGATAATAGTATTTATAACGAATAACCGAGAGAATGACTTGACTGTGAATATGGATATTATCTTAATTCAACATATGAATGTCAAATATGCGTGGATGTATAATTGGAAATGAAACACATTGTTATCAATGTGAAGTGTGATAGGCAACGAAAAAAAGCAAATAATTGAAAAAGAAGAGAATGAATGATATAAAAGAATAAAAAGAAAGTAAGAAGTTTGATATGATGAAGAAAGAATAAAAGTAGAAAGGAGAGAAGATAAAAAGAAAGAAGATAAAGTGTAATAAAAGAAAAGAGATGATAAAAGAAGAAAAGAATGAAAATGGTGTATTTTTAATGTAAAAATTAGAAATATTCAATAATAAGTGTCTAATTTAATGATTCAAAATAATTAATATTGTTTTATTGATGAAAATATTTTATTATTTTTTATGTTTATTATTTATATGTATAATTTAAACATGATGTTTATTATATATTCAATAATATGTGTTATGTTATTATAACATGTAATAAGTGATAACATATAAATGAAAATGATATGAATATATGATATAGAATATAGAAAAAAAGAATAATAAGAATAAATGATAAATAAATATAGAAATGATAATAAATGATATAATAATAAATGATAAATAAATATAGAAATGATAATAAATGATATAATAATAAAATCAAAATATAAAAGATAAATTTAATATTAATATAAATCAAAAGAGAATAAATATAAAATGAAAATAGATATAAATGATAATAATATAAAAATGATAAAGATAAATATTCAAATAAACAAATACAACTAAATATAAAAGAATAACAATAAGAAAATCTAAATAATATAAACATAAAAAACATAAAATAAGAATAATATAATAATATATAGATAATAAGAAGAATACAATGATATACATATTATAAACAGAGAAATAAATATATAAAAATAAGATACATAAATAACATATAAATAAAAGAATATAAATAATTAAATATGATTAAATATGATTCATCAAATCACCTATTTCATTAATATTTCATACAAAATGAATACAATTGATTATAAAATATAAACATAAATATATACAGATTGTGTATTTATCATACTTTTTATTTTTTTATTTTTTTAGGAGCAAAATATAATAAATGGAAAATTCTATGGATGCAAATTATTTTGCATCTTTTTTCTTTTTTTGCAAATTATTTAGATGCATTTTTTCTTTGCTAATTTTCGTACCCAGTGTGATATGTCAATGAAAATGGAGAATGCAAAAGAATGAATAATTGTAAGAAGTCAGAAAGAAATTATTGTTTAAAATGTTTAAATGGATATAAAATAGAAAATAATAAATGTGTTAAAGATAAAGAAGAATGTTATTATGAAGGAAATGAATGTGTTTCATGTTCAAATGAATATACATTAAATAATGGAACATGTGAAAGTAAAGAAAATAAAAATGGAAAGAATGAAGAAATATATTGTGAAAATGGAAAATACATCAAGAATAATAAATGTATAGAATGTACAGAATCAGCAATATGTAATTCAGATGATATTGAATTAAAATGTAAAGATAACCAACAATTAGATAATAATAAATGTATAAATGAAACACGTGAAGAAGGAAAGATAAAAGATCAAAATGGAAAATGTAATTCCAATATTTCAAATTGTTCAAATGAATCATATGTTAATGGAAAATATGTTGAATGTTTAACAACATATTCACTTAATTCAAAAGGAGAATGTATTAATACAACAATAGAAAATTGTGAAGAACAAAATACATATGGATGTAAACGATGTTCAGATGGATATTATTTAACAACAAATATGAAATGTTCAAAATGTGATGATAATTGTAAAACATGTTTTAGTTCAGCTATATATTATATGAGTTGTTCTAGTGATAAATATTTAAGTAGTAATAGAACATGTCAATCAAATAATGAATTAAATGGAACATGTTTACAACTATTAGCAGATGGAAGTGGATGTGGAATATGTAATAAAGGATATCATAGAAATGGAAAAGGATGTTTAGAATGTGGAGAAAAATGTTCAACATGCAATCAAAAAGATAAATGTATAACATGTGCAGATGGATATTTCATGAGTTGGATAGGAGAATGTAAATCAATAGACGAAGTTAAAGGATGTAAAGGAGAAATAGATAAAGAATATGGATGTAGAGAATGTTCAGAAGGATATTATTTAATAAATAAAGAATGTTCAAAATGTAAAGAGAATTGTACAAGATGTTCAACAGAGAATGAATGTAATAGTTGTGAAAATGAATATGTATTAACAAATAAAGAATGTATTTACTATTTAGATATTAATAAATGTAAAGAAGTAAAGAATAATAAATGTTGGAAATGTTCATTTTGGTATGGAACGAATGAAGAAGGAAATGAATGTAATAAAGAAGTAGTATGGTGGATGATAATGATAATTGTCATTATTATAGTTATTATCATTATTATAACAATTGTAATGATAATAATGATTACTAATTACATAATGAAGAGAAGAGAAAAGAAAAAACAAGAGAAGTTATAGAAAGAATAAGTTAATGAAAGAATAAGTTTCACAAGACAAAATTAAAAGAGTTGTTAAAGCTGAAACTACCTAAATGAACTTTGCTTTATTATAAATATAATTTAATAAACCAATAACTTACACAGTTCAAAATGATGTAAAAACAAGTAATTACTATTATCTACTAAAGTACATACTTGAATTTAAAATTTATCAATTTTTAATTTGAATATCTCTGATTTTCTTTACAATTATTACTTTGTGAGTCAATAATTGTTCTTATATCACCTCTACAGTGAGTAAGGTATTTTGTTTTATTCTTTTAAAATGAAACATATGGATATATATTTATTTCTGTTATTTTATAAAAAGTCATAAAAACAAGAAGTATTTAAAATGATTATTAATTAGTTTAATAAAGCAGTTTTTTCATTTCCCTCTTCACTATCATTTTGGGTATTATGAATGATTGGGGTTTCTTCTGAAACTTCTGGAGAGATAGTATCCATATATTTTTTGTAATTGTCAAATTGGATAGTATATTTTTTAGGGAACCAATTTAACTCTCCGAGTAAATTAACGATAGCAGGAAGAAGAATTGAACGAATAACAAAAGTGTCTAGTAACACACTAAACATTAAGATAAATGCAAATTGGTTCAACATCAAAATAGCACTTAAGAATAATCCTGAGAAAGCTATTGCCATAATAATACCTGCATAAGAAATTAAATACCCAGCCTTCTCTACACCGATGATAACGCTTAAATGAGTTGACAATCCTTTTCTTCTTAATTCCATAATTCTTGAAAACAAAAAGATATCATAGTCAGAAGATAGTCCAATAATAATAGGGAAAGTAATTACAGGAACACACCAATACAAACCAATTGACTCTTTCATTATTTGTGACGTCCAATCAAAATAGTCATTACAAAATACAAATGATGCAAATCCATAAATCCATAACACAGTAGTAATAGTTGAAAATACAATTCTTAGGGGAGCAATAAATGATTGGAATGAAATAGCTGTAACAATCACTAAAAGAACAAACAATACAATGATAATAATTGGGAAATATTTAAAACAAATTACAATAGAATCTGAAATATCAACTTCAAAACCTCTAACATAAATTTGAAATTGTGGATATTTAGAAGTAATATCTGAAATAATGTCTCTTACAATTTTTAATTTTTGGTCTGAATATTCTTTAGGATTAAACAATGGAATGAAAGAACAACGTGTTGTTGTGTTATCTGGTGAAACTGCAGAATTGAATAACCAGTGATATAGAGGATCATTTAATACTAATTTCATAATTTTAGCATTAAGCATATGACCTCCAAAGTAATTAATACAATAGTATGATGTTTTATCAAAATCTTCTGGTTTTTCTAAGAATTTTTCCATTAATTCTTTTGTTACATTATAATAAGCAGTACTAAATACGTTGTACTGTGTTTCATTTCCACTAATAACAAGTTCATATGGATAAATAATTCCATCTGGATATTCATTGAGGATGTAAGACCTTGATATCATTGAATCTGATTTTGCAGGAATGATTTGATTATCTTCTTCATTCCAACTGAAATCTTTAATAAAAACACATAATGGTGCAATACAAACTAATGCGATAAGAATACTAACAAAAGATATTTTCTTATTTGATAAAAAGACAGCAAATTTATACCACAATGAATCTTTACTATGATAACTTTTTTCTTTGTTTTCTGCCCATACTCTACAACGTTTAATACATGGAATAAATCCTCTTTTAGAAAAGAAATTTGGGAATATACCTAAAAGAGATGGTGTTAAAGTTAGATTGACAATAATAGTAATAAATATGGAAATAGCTGCACCCATTCCTAAAGTAATAATAACATCTAATGGAAAGAAACATAGTGATACAAAACAAAGTGTTAATAATCCTCCTGATGTAAAAATAATTCTTCCTGCATGTTGTAAAGTATTTTTTATAACATCATAATAACTTTGTTCAATTGATAATTCTTCTGAAAAACGAGTTAGTAAGAATAAAGAATAATCAATAGACATTGCTGCAATACATGACATCATTAAGGCAGGAGCAACACCATAAATATCAATAGCAAAAGTAATAGGATACATGATTCCAAATGCCACAACAAATGAAGTTATAATTGTACATAATGGAATAATCATTAGTGACAATGATTTAAGTACCCAAAGTAATACTAAAATAGCAATTGGAATACATGAAATATCCATTTTCATTAGTGACACCATAATTTCTTCTTGTAAATCAACACTTCCAGGTTCAAATCCAGTTACTCCAACATAATATTTATCTGTTTCATTGTTTAATCGTTTAATTTCTTTCCTTAATGATTTCACGAATTTTGGAATCGCTGTACCATCTCTATCATCAATTGTAACAATAATTGTTGTAACATCTCCTGACTTCCCGACAAATTGTTTTTTAATTATTTCTAATGCAGTTTGGTCAATTATAGTTGCATTAGAAGAATTAGGAAGAAGATAATATCCTTCAGCAGAAAGAATGATTGGTTGTTCTTGCATCCAACTGTTTAGTTGATGTGAAAATGTTTCAGTATATGGTGTAAGAACAGAAGAATTATCAATTGTTTTAATAGCTACAATATTTTGACCTTCTTTAAACACATCAGGATATTTCTCATTAACCAACTGATTTGCACTATATGCTAATGTCCCTTTTGGAGGTTCAATAAACAATGATGTAGCTCCAAGAAATTTTAGTGCTGGATAAGCAAATCCAATAACAGCAAGAATCCAAAATATTACAATTACAAATCTTAATTTGTGTATATATCTAAAAAGAAAATTAAATATTTTATCACCCCTTCTTTCTTCTCTTTTTACTTCAATATGTCTTGAATCATTTGATTGTGCTTGTTGTGTTTCTTCCATTATTTATTTATCTATTTTCTTTTAGACGTGTAGGGTTTTATCCAACTTAGAAAAACAAGTGATTTTGGTGGTTATAAAATGAACTTCTATCCTCCTATTTTACTTTTTCCATAAAACTGTTTCTTGATTAACTTTGATTTTTGTTTTTTTTTTAATTTTTCTGTTTCTAAAAAATCTGAACATTATACTCCCATGTCTAAACATATGAAAAAATAACTCCACACAACCTCTCTTATTTTCTAGACAATGATTCAAAAATGAATAACACAATTTATTAAGAAAAATAAACAAAGAAGAATCAATGAGAGGTTAAAAGATAATAAAATAAATTAAAGGTATTTATATAGATAATGAAATATTTACTTTAACTTTATAACTATTCTTACAAGAGAGATAAAATACTTATTAACTTTAGTTTGTTTAAAGTTCTTAATGATAATATAAACAACTCCAAAACTTCTTGATGATTTAATATTTTGGGATTTTCTTTTATGACATTTATTTTTTTTTTGATAACGTTATGAGTTAGTTACAACCTTAAAAAGAAGAGCTGGGTTTAGAAGAATTAATGATAATGAATAAGTTTATTCTAACCAAATTAGTTTTAATATGAAAGACTGAAAATTAAATTCTCAATCAGTTTCATTTATAATAAAAATCTGATAATATCATTTGTTTATCATAAAAATAACAAATAATAACGGAATTATAAATATAAAGAATGACTCAAAAATATACTTATTTATAAAGTATTTTTATTTTAATAAGAGAGTTACAGAATATTTTGTAATTACCAAAGTGTTAACAACAAGGGTGTTTTTTTTAACAAATACTTCAACATATTATAAACCAATGTTAATTAACATAACTACAATATAATTAAACAATAAAGATAAAGAAACAGATGATGTTGTTATATTTGTTTAAGAATTTATTTCAGAAACAAATAATAGTGTGTTCTGTTAAAAGAATGATTAATTTCATTAGTACAGAAAAAAATAAAATAGTAAAAACATTTAAACCCAATTTATAAACAACTACCAAAACAACTTATGAATACTTTAATTAACAAAATACTATATAACAATATATATTATCATTTTTAAAACATAATACTCTTAAATAAAAACAAATTGAATCTAAAAGTATAATATTTCAAAAGGAATAAATTTTTTTGAGACTTTAACAACCAAAATATCAATTCCAAAAATAATAATATTTAAATTTGTTGAAGAATCAAAGATTGATTATTTGAAATTTTTTCAAATAAAAATAACTTATTTCACTCTTATTTTTATTTAGTATATACCATTCTATATTATGAAATATAAATAGTTCAATTAATCCCTTTTATTAATACCATATATACCAATGTAAACTATAATCTTTCATTATTTTCTATATTTTTTTATTTTTGAATAAGAACCAATTCAATCTGTTTTAAACAAACAAAATCAATAAATATAACTATTTAAATAATATATAAACTAGTAATTAATCATAAATAATTTGAAATTCAATAATATTATACAGTTAATGAAATATATATTTCTTTATTCAATTTAGATTATTAAACTAAAATTACAGATGCAAGTACTATAAAAAGTGATCTTTCTTCCTCTTGAAATTAAATAGTTATAGAACAGACTTTGTCAGATACTATATTTTGTTAGTATGTTTGTTTTAATATTTAATAAGTAGTTAAATGAACAAATATTCTCATTCTAACTGATAATATATCTAATGTCCATTACAAAGACTATTTCAATTTTTACTATTTAGTATATTTTAATCATACTTATTTGTTGATTTATTTCAATAACTCTTTTCTTCTTTTCTTATTTATATTATAATGGTTTATTCTATGTTAACAATGTTAATCTTATTGTATTTAATTTATAAAATTAACTCTTTCATATAATAATACAGTGAACGTTTCTTTTTAAATAAAATCTATTCTGATAATTTTATTGTACAACGTTTGTTAAAACTTTGTTTCTTTTTCTATATAATTATTCACTTTATTCTATCTAAAAATCTCTTTAAGAATATATGAAACCAATTATTCAACACATAACCAGTTCAAATAAAAACATTATTTTAAAGAATACTTTTAATCATAGAAAGTAGTACTAAATTAAATTCGATAGAGATGTCTAGTCTTTAAAAAGTTCTCAACTCTATTTTGTTGTTGAATGAAAAAAAAAATAATAGAAACAACTATCATAATGATACAACAACTAATTCTAGTAAAACCATAACTTATTAATTGAAAAGAATAAAGACTAATAAACAAGTTATTTTTTTTTCTCTCTAAAGAAAAAGCAGAATATGAAAAAAACTTTAGACAATTTAAATCTATTTTCTTAATTGATTTTTGTATTACTCCATTAATAATATCCCTGTATACATTAATACATCTCTTTTAAGTATATACTCAATCAAAAACAATAACCTTTTCTCTAGCTAAAGAATCTAAATGAATAAAGAATAACATATGTCTGATAATTAAGACTAATAAATGAAAAACTCAATTTATAAATTTTGAGATTAAAAAGAAAAAATCTGAAACGAAAAGAGAAAAAGGGCAAACTGAAATAAACATTAAACGTGAAAAATGCAAAGACAAACAGAGTCTTTAGTCTATGCACCATCGTCAAAACGAGGAATTGAAAAAATGAGTGAAACTAATATCCTTCAACCAAATATTCAAACAAATATTAGAGATATTGACTCATTTGATTGTGACGACCCTTTTTTCATGACAACATATGCAAAAGATATATTCAAATATTTAAAAGAAGAAGAAGAGTTAACGATAATCCCAACTGGTTTTATGACAGGTCAATTATATATTACACCAAAAATGAGACAAAAATTAGTTGATTGGATTGCTGAAATCTCTACAGTACTAACATTGTTATCTGAAACATATCTATTAACAATATATATTATTGATAAATACCTTTCATTAAATAAAACAGTTGAACGGTTTGTTCTTTCATTAGTTAATACTTTTTTTTATCTTATTTGACTTATCTTTTATTAGAAATAATTTCCAATTGGTTGGAGTTGCTGCTGTTTTGATTGCTTCAAAGTTTGAAGAGTATTCATATGTTATTGTAAGTGATTTAGTTACATTAACAGGAGATGCATATACTGGTGATATGATTAAAAATATGGAATGTCAAATTTTAAATACCCTGAACTTCCAAATCATTAGACCAACTCCTTTAGACTTTCTTCGTCGTTTTTCAAGAGCAGCTGATAACACAGAAAAACCACACATTACTGCTCGTTATTTGATTGAGTTAGCAACATTAGATTATCAATTAATGGAAAAAAAAGTAAGTCTACTTGCTGCTGCATCAGTATATCTTGGAAGAAAAATGTGTGGAACAACTCCTTTTTGGGACGAAACAATGGCTTTTTATTCTGGATATTCTGAACAAGACATTCTTGGTACAGCAAGATGTCTTAACATTTTACATAAATTTACAGTATGTTCTAAGAGTAGTAATTATTTAAAAATAAAAGAGAAATTTGAAGATGAACAACATAAATTTGTTTCTCTTCTTCCTCCTTGTCCTGATTTTTAAATTACTTTTTTGTTATATTTTGTTGTTTTATATAACTAAATATTTTATTGATTAAAAACAATGAATTTTTGTTATTTTTTAAAGAAACTAAATTTTTATAATTAAAAAATAATAAAATTATTATTATATAATAATAATAAAAAATAAAACTAAAAAATCATTTTCATAATGTCACAGACTGAATGGTCTTTAGATATCTCCGATTCAAACCAAATATCATTCGATGGACCTTCAGCCATCCATAAGTCTGTTTATTCAATTCCATATTCAGAACCTTCAAACTCATTTGTTTGCATATGTTGTAATACACTTTTCTTTGCAGAAAAGAATATATTGCGTTATTGTTCATTTGGAAGTGATAAAATTGAACGTATTGAATTAACTAAACCAATAATTCATCTTGCCTCTCTTGATGAAGGAATTGTTGTGATTTGTGAAGATTATATTATTATTTATAATGTTAAAAGTGGATTTTTTGAGAGACGTAAATATTCAAATTATAATAAAGTTATTGTGCATTGTAATGTTTCATCAAATGGTCAAACTATATTTTTTATGACAGACTCAGCAGTAATTAGTATGAGTTGGCCAGAAATGGAAAATCAACAACGTCTTTCATTTATAGAGACAGACACTCAATTACAAAACATTAAACAAATAGCAGGAGAAGACAAGTTAATTCTTGTTTATGGTATTTCTCTTTCAGCTTTTCTTTGTATTTTTGAAACAAAAGCTGTAATTGCAACAACAACAAAAATGTTATTAGTGAATATTACTTTCGATGATCTTGTTGTTGATTGTATTCATGCAAAAAACAGGCTATTTATTCAAACCCAAAAAGAGTTTTTAGTCTTTGAACAAAAGATTAGTTCTTTAGATAAATTAAAAAAGTTAGGTTCATGGAAAATTCCTGATAATACACAATGTAAATTAAACCCTTACGGTGCTTCTTTCTTAAATGCCAAAACCTGTGTGTTTTTTAGATGGACTTCTGATATGAAACAACCTCATATTGACCGAATTGTATTTGGAAGTAATTTTGTTAACATTATTACTGTTGTTAATAAAAATCAAATTATTTCAAAGACTTTAGGTGGGTTTTTACTTAGTGAAATCCCTGAAATTGACAAAGCAGAAATAAGAGAAACTAAAAAAGTTGAAAAGAAAAAAGTCGATGAAGAACAACCTTCTGTACCACCACAACAACAAGTTAAACCTCAAACCGAAATTGAAGAATCTCAAGAAGGTTTAAAAAAAGAAATACCAAAAAATAAAGACATTGAAATATCTAGTAGTAAAATTAATATCAGTAATAATGCTCCTTCTCCTGTACCTGTTGTTGTACCTGAAAATGATCAAACAATAAGAGCTCCAACACCAAAAAATATAACTAAAAGAAAAGAAATTGATAAAGAAAAGGAATTAAAAAGAAGAAAAATATTAGAAAAATTTAATCAAACAAATCAGTCATTAGCAAAAGTTGTTTCTTTCCTTAAAGGATTAGAAGAAAAGCCATATTGTTCTGAGTTACCAGATATATTAAAGCAACTTAAATTTTAAAATACAAATTAATTTTTTGTTATTTGAGTATTTTGTTATTATGAATAAAAAAATAAATAAAAAGAAGAAAATATTTTAAAATAATTTGATTTAATGAATTAAAAATAATATATTAGAAAGAAATAAAAAATTTTAACAAATTGTAAATTATTTTTCTTGTTTAGTAGGTTCTTTATCATCTAAGAACACACTGATTGTTGATAAATATCCTTTTTGTGAGAACGTTGGATTCTTTGGAATTATATCATCTATCATTTGTTTTCTTTGTAAATATGGTAACATCACATCATCTCCTATAATTCTTTGTTTTGAATTATCTGATGCATTGAAAGCTGTTTCTCTTGTAAGTTCTCCTAAAATATCTTCAGGAACAACCATATTATCTAATAATGGTCCAAATACTCTTACATCTTTTTTTCTTTGTATTTCAATAGTATCAACACCACATATTCCTGGTTTAATAATTACTTGACTTGAAATATTTCCATTATTTTGTTCTTCAACTTTAACTTGGTTTTCTTCTTCATTATTTTCATTCCATATTATTACAACATGATCATCACCAATTAATTTCCATTTTCTTTCTTCATTACCTTCTACAGATGGCATTCTGACACTCTCATGATAAACACATTCTCTTGTTGATGATTTATAATAAAGAACCGTTACACCATCATTTCCTGTTTTTTCCATTCCACCAATAAATCCATTATATTTCTTAATATCCGTTTGTTCTCCTAATGAGCTTGAAAATCCTTCATATCTTCTTGAAACTTCACAATTCTTTAATATCTCTTCTTTATTTTTCATTCCTTTCTTTACATAAATCAACCCAATTGGATATACTCTTCTTGCAGGAGTTTTATCAAGAGCACTGACTAAATTTCTAAATTTGTCATGAGATGGTAATGATGTTAGTCTTGATGAAATAGCTAATCCATCAATGAAGAATAATTCAGTCATTAATAATCCTGTTGTTAATGGTGAGGTAATTGATACATCAATTTTTTCTGGTAAAGAAGGTGGTAAAATTTCAATTTTCTCTTTTGGTATTTGTTGAAGAGTTTTTCTCATATCAATACATTCCTTTGTTGTTGTTTTTAATGTTTCGTCAAATTCTTCTTTATTTCCTACTTCAGTTGGGAAATCCCAAACAAGTTCTTCTGGAATTAAATCAATAAGCTGTGAAACATCATTAATATCACTATGAATATTTTCTACAACAATACCATCTCCTTCAGAAACATTACCAAGAACTTCTATATGTTCAATAGTCTTTTTCCAATTAGGAACTTGTACTTCTGTAAATTTCCATTCAAATCTACCAACACTATTTCTTACACAAATCGTGACATCTTCTCCATTTTCTGGATGTGTTACAGAATATAATGTATTGTCATTAAAGAACCATTTAGTTGATTTATCTGACACATCTGATCCAGTAGAATTAACTAATAAAGCTCCTTCTGTACCTAGTCCTGATATATATAATCCAATATATGCTTCTGCTGCTTCTCCTGCAATAATTCGATGTGGTTTAGAAGTTGTTGTATTCATATGAAGTGCACTGGTGAGTGCTTCAAGCATAATACTAGCTATATCAAGAGAATGAATTGCTGGAGACACAGATGGGGAAATAAGATATTCCATCAATGCACAAAGTAAACTTCCTACGGTTTGATTGTTTAAAGTGGAAATCATTTGGAATGCAGAAACATGTAATTCTGTAATTAATGGAACAGGTAATGGTGGTGATAATCGTGCTAATGATGAAATAATTTGACAAACACATCCATATCTCTCAGTTGGTAAATAAGACATCAAACACTTTAATATATCCAATGCTAAATCATTTTGTTTTTGTTGAACAACTAGAAGATGAAGATGACATGCCAATCCCCATAATAATGTTTCTTGTGCAATAGAGTCTTGAAATAGAGTCATTAAATGTTTTTGAGCATAATATAGAGAATAATTAAAATCTCCTAATGCTTCTTTAAATTCAATTAATGGAAAAACTTGTGGATATAATTTTTCTGCATAAATTAATGAATTTAATAATCCAATAATTTTCATTGCAATATTCTCATGAGACTTTTCTGGTAATGTTGGAAGTTGTTGAAGCATAGAAAGTAATGGAACAATCATTCTAGTACATCCTGGTAATCTTAATGAAAAAATGTCATGTAATCCAAGAAGAAATTCATATGGTGCATTTGGAATGAGAGAGACAATACTTTCATAAAATGTAGAATATGCTGGAAGTACATATCGTTTATTTCTAACAAATAAATCACATAATCCTAATCCTGCAGTTATTTTTACTTCAATTTCTTCTGAAGATGAAAGACTACGAAGGAAATATGTACCAAAAGTATTCATTAAATCAACTTTACTTTCTCCATCATATCTTATTAATAATTCACATACTTTTCTCACACTTGTGATACAATTTTTTACTGCTGTTTCCATACATGTATCTTGTATCATAAACCAAAGTCCTTCCCATAATTCAAACATTTCATTTGGTTTCAGTTTAATCATTTCTTTAAATGTAGGATCATCATTAGGAAATATATAATCTGGTTCAACACTTATATAACGTACCATTTGATTAGGATTTTGTGGAGTAGAATTCGTTGGTAAGGAAATAATTTGTTTTGTTACATGAATAATTTTTTGACATAACTGAGTTAATAATCCAGAAGAAGAATAAAATTGATGAAGCATATCATATAATTTATTATATGCTGTAGCAGAATGTCTCCATCTAACATAAGATGTAATAATAGTATCAACAAGTGAACCAACAGCATCATCACGATAACAAGTAATTAATTTATTAATATTATTAACAAGTGTTGCAATAAGTAAATCTTTCATATCATCCATTAAATCTAATTCATTGTTTAATAATTCCATCATTCTTGAATGAAGTGCTGATGTAAAACAACGAATATTTGGATTCATTTCAGCATGATCAAATGGAATATCAATGCATTGAATAATGTATCTTCTAAATTCTAATAATTTGTTACTTCCAAGTGCATTTTCATAACTTATTGCAGTGTTTGTTTTAGCAACAAATTCTGTATAAAAGAATGTGAAATAATTAAGTCCATTTTGGAAAGTTTCTGGTGAGAAATTAAGTGCTGTTGATAGAATAAACTCTAAGAATGGAGTTGCACCTTCTTCTTTGAAAAACATTTCTTTAATATCACTAGTTATTAATTTTCGTAAATCAGTTAAAATAATTTCCATTAATCGTGTTGGAATATCTCCTAATCCTGATGATGGGACAACACATGACAATGTAATTGTTTTAGAAAATGATGGAAATAGTAATGCACAAATATTTTCTGCAATAGGAAGAAATGTTTTATAACTCTCTTTCTTTAATAATCGATCCAAAAATTTATCAATAAATTCCATTGAAAGTGATCGTTCATCAACAAGTTCTTCAGAAGGAACATAAGGTTCATTAACCAAACTAGGAAATGGTTGGTTTGGTGGTAGATCAATTAAACTTCCAATATTCATTGAAGATATGATATATCTTGCAAACTGTGAAGAATATTCTTGTTTGTCTTGATACATATTTAATAGAGTTTCGTATGCTGCACGTCTTAAAATTGTATCAGTTCCAATAGAAAGATAATTCTCAAATAATGAAAACAACGACTCAAATACATGAAATTCATTATATGGAAATACTTTTCCTGCAAACTCGATTATTTTTAATTGGCTTAATGCAGCTTTACTAGTTTGTTTTCCTTTTTTACAATGAGCAACTTGTCCAGTGGCATATTCACTTAGAATTAATCCAGTCAATGAATGATTTATTTTACAATATGAAACTATATCACTATCCTCTTCAATAAGCCATTGTAAATATTTAAATTTATTTGCATTAGATTCTTTTGGCTCAAGAAGTAACGCTTTTTTCTTTCGTATCTTCTTTTCCTGTTCTAATTGTTCTTTAGCTGATTTACTTGACATAAAGTTATTATTTAATAGTTCTTTATTATTTTTAAGTTACTATTATTAATTATATCCAAATTCCTTTTGTCTATTTCTTTAAAATATCTGAAAAATAACAAAAATATTATTTTTGGGATATATTTAGTATTATTTTAATAATAAGTAATTAAGTATTAATAGAATTTATTTCTCTAAGTTTTTTTTCAATGAAGATAATCAAATTAAAGAGTCTTCTTCTTGTAGTTTTATAGAGTATGTTTTGTTGTGATAGAAGCAGTATTCAATGACATCAATCATGTTTTTTATTACAAGGGTTTCATCTTCTTTTTCGATGTCAATTTCAATTTTTAATTCTTTAATTAATCTAATACTTTCTTTATTCATTAATCCATTGATTGAGATTACTACTGGATTTATTTTGACATCTTTCAACTTTTCTATTTTCATTAGAACATTCTTTAATTCCTTATACTTATTTCTTTTCTTCAAATACACTAAATTAATATTGTGATCAGCCACAATCGTCATATCAAATAATAGACTAGTTTTATTCTTTTTATCTAATACATATATGTCTGGTCTTTTGTGATATTGTCCATCACTTTTATGCATTATTTGTTTGTTCCATATCATTGTGATGTCTTTATATTTGAATATTGTTTCATATGGGGGTTTTATATTGTTTATTTCCTGTATATTTTCTTATTAATCAATATTATAATGCCAATATTGTCATGGTTTTCTATTTGTGATTTATTATGATAAATACAAGATAGTAGACTGTGTTGTACTGTTGTTATTTTGTCTTTACACAGTGTGGAGTATTTTATTCTTTCATTTTTCATTATTTTTGCTTTCCTATACCCACAAAATATTGCTCCATCTTACATTTTAGTTAATTGGAGAAATGCATTTTTCTTTTTAATATTGATTGACTTCCATGCTTTCACTGTAGTAGTTTTATCGGGTACGAAAATTAGCAAAGAAAAAATGCATCTAAATAATTTGCAAAAAAAGAA